TGGACCCAAGCCTCTCTAATGCCAAACTCACGGTAGGGGAAGCGGCTCTTCTGTCTCTTTCTCTCTCTCCGTTTCCCATTTTCTTCTCTTTTCCATTTGTCACCTGCTCCCACCCTCCAAGGAGTCAGAGATTTTCCAAAGGATGGAATAACTCCAATACTGCCTTGCATACAGTAGGTATTCAATAAATACACACTGACTCTGAATTGCTGTGCCATGACTTTTAAGAGCATTTGCATTTTCACAAAAAGTTCCTGGTAAAGATAATACCCAACACTGACAACTAAATGGTGAAAATCCAGCCCAGGGCATCTTCAGTGGGGCAATTCTTCTCTGCCTTCCTCCCTTCCTCATGTTTTTTTTCTCTCTTTCAAAACAAACAGTGGCACTAATCTAAGTGCTTTATACTTATTTACTGATCTAACCCTCAGTACCCCTGTATGAGGTAGGCACCTTTATTATTAGCAGCATCCCATTTTGCAAATAAGCAAATGGTGCACAGAGGGGCTTAGTTTTCTGCTCAGGAACACATAGCTTTTCATCAGTAGAGTTGGAGTTTGCAGGTGGGCAGTGAGGCTAACCACTGCCAGCAGACAATTCGGCCTGCCCAGGCCGGGTCAGCTTCCTGAAGCCACTTCCATCCCTTACATCCGCCCGACACTGTATGGTTTCCAAGATATGTCCATGTGTCTCATGGCACTGGATCGTCACCATCAACTGTGAAGTGAGGACCATTATTCCCATTCACAACAGAGGAAACCCAAGCTCCAGGAATTTAAGTGAATCACCCAAGGTCACACAACTAGTAAGCTGGCCGAGCTTGGGAGCTGAAACCGATGTGTGGTCCACTTATTTCCATGAACGAGGCTGGTGCGGGGACCTGGGGAACTGGGGCTGACCAAAGCAAAGACAGAGCTCTGAGCAGGAAAAAAAATTGCTCAATGTGCCCTTTTTTTCTTTCTTGACAATTGGGCAGGGGAAGTGTGTGTGTGTGTGTGTGTGTGTGTGTGTGTGTGTGTGTGTGTGTAATAGTCATAACGTATTCCTCAGACCTTGAGGTTTTAATAAAATGTGAAAACATTTTTACCAGCACCCTCCCTTCCCTCCTGGTTTGTAGGCTCTGCATAATTTAAGGAAATGTAATCCATATGTTTGATTATTCATATTTCCATCATCAAAAATATTGTTGATTATTTGAGGGCGTTTGATGTTCTGGAAATCTTGGGGGGGCAGTAGAGAAAGGATAATAATTTTTTTTAAAGCATCCTTTCTTTTCCTACTTTCATTTTCCTTGAAGAATGCTTTATGGCATTTCACTGGCAGATGAATGAGTGGTTACTAGAATATTCCACCTTTTCCTGTAGATGTTTAACATAGCGATGAATCCAGGGATGCAGTTCTCAGTCTTAGGGCTCTTGTGTGGAGGGGAGGAGAGTTAATATTTATGGACTTCCTATCCTGTGCAGATACTTTGCCTACAGCGTCTTATGTAGTGTTTATAGCACCCCTGGGAGGAGGTGCCATGGCTCCATTTTATAGAAGAGGGGAGCGAGGCTTTGAGGCCAGGAAGTGGTCGGGCTGGAATGCAAATCGAGCTTTGCCTGATCCTAAGCTGTGGTGGTCATACCTTTCAGCTTCTTCAAGGGAATTCAAGGGTATTTGCCACCCAAATCAGAACATTACTCAATTTCCTTACATTCCCACCTCTATATCACCAACCAACCTCTGCACCCAAATCACTTCCCTCTCAGAGCCCTTGCTCACCTGTACAGGCAGTGAGAGCTAAGGTTCGGATTCAGTGTCCCCATTCACTGAGCATCTACTATGTGTGGGGTACAGAGCTAGGTGCATGGAGGGACTGGCACGAACCACACAAGTCCCCTCTCCTCTGGAACTAAAGCAAGTCGGGGCAGCTGATGTACCCCCAGCACTGACCACCCTTCCAGGGCATGATGACACTGAAGCCTACAAGCTACAACCTCAAAGAGGTCGTCCATAAAGGAACCTCTCAGTAACACCCCCTCATCTTTTAATTAGCAACATCGCACTTTTTACAGGATGACATTTTTCTTGTTTATCTATTTTTTTTATTATTTATCTCTACTCCTCTTCCTTTCCCTCTAGAAGTATAACAGTTCCTGGCATATAGAAGACACTTAAGAAATATTTGTTGGAGGAAAGCATGTCTTACTCATCATTGCATCCCTAGGCCCTAAAACAGACTAGGGATTTAGTACTAATTCCATCCAGTATTTACTGAGCGCTTATCACATGCCAAGCACTCTTGGAAGGATGTTACTGGTACTATCTCAGTCTTACAGGAAACCTCTGAGGTAGATGCAATTATTATTCCCATTTTACAAATGAGGAAACGGAGGCACAGAAAGGCCACGATGCCACAGCTAGCAAGAAGTGGGGCAGAGTTCCAAACCCACAGAGTCTCCACCCCAGAGCTGGAGCTCTTGACCTTGATTCTAAGTGTTAATGAATCCATGAATGCTTCGGAGAACTATCGCTAAGCGGAGTGTGGAGTCTAGAAGCATGGTGCTCAGTGTAAGGAGAATAGAATCAATGCATTACATCTGACAGAATCAAACTTTTCAGAGAAGTTGACAATGAGTCTTAGCCTTAGAATGGTTGGGTGTCAACATGTGTACTCCAGAATCGAGAGTCCAGAGTCAGAACCATGGCTGAGATTGAGGCAAGGACAGATTATGCATAGAGATGTGAGGAAGGGGTGAGGAGGATGGGGAATAAGGCTGGAAAGGGAGGAGGGAGCCCGATAGGGGAGAGTTTTGAATGCCAGGTAAACAGATGTGGTCTTGGTGCTATGGGAAAGGCGTACCATGGCAGGTTTCCACACACGGAAATGCCATGATCCGAGCCTCTTAGCTCAGGTATGGTTAGCCTTGTGCTTGAGCTGCAGGGACTCTGGTTCAGATTGCATATCACATCTCATTAAATTGTCCCAGGAATCCCTGGAGGTCCAAAGTGCTGTTCCATTTTACAGATGACACCATGGATGCTCAGAGAGTTGAATTTTCCCAAGTTGATCAGCTGTTACGTCAGAACTAGAGCTCTAATTCCGGTCTGCCCAGACTTTTCCACTCCCAACTAGGTCAACATTCCCACAACTCCATGAAGAAAGGAATGAACCCCCTTCAATTTCCAAGGGAAAGGAGGATTCCCTGGTCACTTCTCCCTTCTCAACATTCAGGCTGTTGCCAGGGGAGAGAGTTTCCCATGTGGAGGGAGGAGCAATAGGGTGGGGATAGTGGGGCAGGCAGGGGCATTAGTGGAGAGAGAGCCTTGTAGAGGAGGGGAGGACGGGAAGAAAGGCAGCAAATTGTTTCTGGATGGAATTTTCCAGACAGGGCCTCAGTCAGAGAACAAATGTGCCTTCTGAATTTTCACTTTAATTGTTACTGACCTTTAGTGAGATGAGCAAAATTACTCTCCCGCGCCCCTCCACCCCCACCCCTTTTTACAAAATCATTTTCCCTGACTTCTCAAAAATGAAGTTTGGCCAGCCTGGCCCTGACTACCGACTATGGGAAAACAATGCATCTCCTTATGGCCCCAAACTGAGCCTTTGCAATTAATCCATTGATCTCAGTAGAAAACCCTATTGTATCAGGGTCTGCTGGGAGAAAGCTGCATCCTGCCCCTCTCCCGCCCTGCACAGAATGCTCATTGAAGTCAGCCCCCGAATTGATGGCAGGATATGGCCCCAACAGCCTACAAATTAAAGGGGCCCAGAAAATAACATTGGCTGGGCAGGGAGAGTAGGGGAGGGTCTGCTTCCTTTACAAGCTGTGGGTAAGGGTCTGCCTGTGCTCAGAACTCTTGGAATTGTGACGGTTTCTGCTTGCCCCTGAGCCTCAGTTCTCCATAGTGTGTTCTGCAACTTTAGACCCTTAGCTCTCTAGATTGCCGAGTGTTTGGCTTTTTGTTGATGCTGATAACATTGACGATAATGTTACTGCCTGCGATCTATTGCGCACTGAACACTAGGTAGCACCAGCCCCTCTGCCTCAACTCATTTACTTCTCACACAACCTTTAATGAGGGTGATGGAGATGGTGAGGACTTTTTTGTTGAGTGGGTCCCATGTTCCAGGTGCTTTACACCTTCTTTTTTCATTTAATCCTTCAAATGGTAGAAGTGAGCAGAGCTGGCTAGCTGGACCCATTCCACTTGTCTTCAAAAGGCATTACGTAGTAAGCATCACTGGAAGCACAAGACATATTTCCCAGAGCTCCTCTGAGGTGGAACATATTGCTGGAAGGAAGAGTTACATGAGCTATCTGGGCTGATGCATGAGCCCTGAGGGTTCTAACCTTTCTTCCATGAGAGAGGGGGAATGATTGTAGAACTTTTGATGAATGGAGAATTGGTGGGATGCTGCCATCCTGGGCACCATGCATGCTTGTAAGGTTTCACACTGCTTCCATATACCGTGTACATTATGTATAGCGTGTGTGTATGTCACACACAAGCCCTGTTACATACACTGTAATGGAGACAGTTCTACATGGCAGACCTGCCATGGTCCTCCTTTTCAGCTCTTCCCTCATCCAATAAGCCCTCTTTCTTCTAAATGAATAAACAAGTAGTCAAAGCATTTTAAACCCTCAGGGTGCACCTACATTGTCAGTCTAGCCCTGTAGGTGGTTATTATTTTCATTTTACAGATAAAGACATGGGCACTACAAGGTGAAATGACATGTTATAGGACCCACAACTAAGTAGTTTATCCAGAACCAACAAGAATGTATGCTCTAGGAAAACTGGATTCTTTCTCTCTTACTCAAAATATACCTCCAATATCTATAGAACTACATACCACCTATATCTAGTATAATGCCTGGCATGTAGACAGTGCTCAATAGATATTTGTTGCATAAAAGAAAAAATGTGACTTTTTGCTCTTTTCTAAAAGATTCCTCTCTGCCCTCCTGACTACTACACTGCTATTTGTCTGGTCCTTGTGTTTTTAGATAATCCTTCTACAAAGACCTGTTGATGAATGCCACAAAAAGTTCAGGAGGAAAGGGGGATTCCTCAGATATTAAAAAAGGTATGCTTCCTTTCATCAGAAAACAAGAGCTATAGCATTCCACATATTTCCCATTTAACTTGGCTTCCAAGAAAGTCAGAATTAAATCTGGTGCTCAATTTCATATTATAGTTGGGTTAGATTCAGAGTAAAGTGTTGTGTGTTTTTTTCACATACTATGTGGTTTCAGCTCTTTCTCTCTCTCTGTACGTGGCTCATCTTTACAGGTGTCTTTGAGGTATAGAAAAGACATAGTCTAATAATAATTGTTTTCATGATGTCACTAGGGCAGTGGTTCCCAACCTTCCTAATGCCGCGACCCTTTAATACAGTTCCTCATGTTGTGGTGACCGCCAACCATAAAATTATTTTCGTTGCTACTTCATAACTGTAATTTTGCTACTGTTATGAATCATAATGTAAATATCTGATATGCAGGATGTATTTAGGCGACCCCTGTGAAACGGTCGTTCGACCCCCAAAGGGGTCGTGACCCACAGGTTGAGAACCGCTGCACTAGAGCCTTGTGTTGTCTGGAGCCACCTCCTCTGTTCCAAGATCTCTACTGGGAAGCTACACCTAGTCCCACACTTTTGCTGTAAACTTCACACTTCATCTATATCAGTAGTTTTCAACCAGGATGGGGTGGGTTCAGTAATTTCACCCTCAGGGGACATTTGGCAATGTCTAGAGGTGTTTTTGGTTGTCACTGGCATCTAGAGGGTAGAGGCCAGAGATGCTGTTTAATGTCCTACAATGCATAGGACTACTGCCCCCACAGCAAAGAATCATCCAGCTCCAAATGTCAATAGGGTCAAGTGTTGAGAAACCTTGATCTATACCTGTCAGCCCTCTATCTGTGCTTCTCAACTGTCATGACACATGTCATGGAAATAATCTGGACTTCACCCCTTTTTCTCTTCCCTTGACTAAGGCTCCTCCAGGGAAGCCTTTGGCGAGCGTACCATATATTCTCTCCTGAGCAGGCTATTCATTGTCCCCTCTCCTCCCTGCTTCCACCTCGCTCACATACTAAAGGAACCCAGACAAACAAGGACCCCCATCTTACTCATCTTTGGATCTTTGATTTCAACACAAATCCTAGAATGGAGACTTTTCTATTTAAGTTACAGGGTCATCTCGCCTTTTTGGCAGTGGGAGGAGAGACATAATTTCAGAATGAAATGGTTTTCTTCTTCTGATTGCCTTTAATTACACAGTCCCATAGAGGAAGTTAATAAAAACATAGCTCTCCAGAGGTCCGTGCTGATAACCTTTGGACAGAGCCTGGGTATTTTTGCTGTGAAGGCATTCCCGACGTCTGCCCTTGCCATCCTGTGCTCTCTTAGTTGACTGAGTAGCATCAGTCCTTTGGGTCAAGGGCCAATTTTATTGCCAACAACTCTACTCTGTCCTGGCATCCTAATAATCTGTTATAACTGTTCTTCCTCATATCAAGCTGCCTTCTTTAAATTTCTGCATACCTGCCTCAGTTTCCCTGCTTGACACCTCAGGTTCTTCCTGGGGTGGAGCTCAGCTTTGCACACAAGCCTTATGGGTTGAAAGCAGGCTGCCAAGTCTACTTTTCTCTGGTGGGGGCAGAGGGAGGGAAGGTTCTGGGTCCTGCTTTTCCTCCTCATCCAAGGGTCCTTCCTGCTGTGACCATGATGGTTTCTGCAGCCCCATGTGGTGACCTCCACCCCAGTTGTGAACATTGCTTCTGGCTGTGTCCCAGTGAGGGATAGCACCCCCTTGGCACTGCCATCGGGGCAGGTGAACTCAGGCTTACTCCATCAGTTAGACACCTATTGATTCCACAGCATTTAACGCTTGCAGCAAAAGTACTGGGTGCTAAGCACCATGCTGGCCATTGGGTTCACAAGATTAGTAAGATCCCATCACTAGCTCACAGAGAGACCAAATGACAACATACTGTGCTCTGAACACAGGGTGTTAGTATTATACTCCTGAAGACAGCCAACTCAGACTGAGGGAAGGTGGTCATGGTGGCCTTCCTGGAGGAGGGGATGCCTGAGCCAGGTTTTAGGGGGCTTCTACTGGCTTACCCAGCTGCTCCAGCCAGACTGGTCTCCCAGCAACTGCCTCCCACTGGTTGTCCTCCTCCTCATTCCTCTCAGCCCCCAGCTTCCCAGACATCTGTGTTGCGCTGCTTGTGGCAATTCTCTTTTCTTAGAGAAAAAAAAAATGAAAATGGAAAAGAGAATGGTGCACCCATTGGGGAAACTTTTGTCGTCTGTAAAGTTATCACTCAGCTTATAAGTAAGCTGGGGATCCCAAAGGTTTGACTTCAGGTTATCAGCTGCTTCAAGGTGCTCACACTGAAGGCTTCTGTTTCCTGCTGGGGTGGAGGTGGGGTCGCCACACCTATCACCCAGCTCCAGTACCACCAGAGAGAGACCAGGCCAAACCCTGGCGGGGAGTATTATTTGAATGCTCACAATAGCTCTGAGCGGTGGCTCTCATCGTCCCCATTGCATTGCTAAAGCAACTGAGAATCAGATGGGCTGAGTTGCTTGCTAACAGAGGCAGAAGCCAGGATGCAAAAGCGGGCATTTCAGTCCAAATCCACGTTCTTCACACCCCATTCTCTTAGCACAGCTAAGCCTCTCCTGTTTTCTTCAGGCTTGCTCTCTCAGAGCTGCTTCCAGATGAAATGGGACCAGAACAGAGCTTAGGCATTGTGTTATGTCGCACCTCCTTCTCTCCAGATTCAGAGCATGGGTCCATTTACCGAGAGACTCAGATTCTCCACAGGGGCATTAGATAAAGGCTGGAGCCCGAAATGCTGTTTTGGAAAAGATGAAACAACCCTTGCCGTGTTTATATTCAATTCCGGAGACCTGGTTAGAAAAATATTTTTAAAAAACGGAAGGAAGAGTAACTCTGCACTCACAAAATGTGGGCTCCTCCTGGGGCGGGGGAGGGAACCTCTGCCCTCGGATTCTGTTCCCAGGAGTGGACATGTCCAGCCCCCAAACTGCCCTTGTGAGATGAAAGGGAATCTTTCAACATTTCCTCCTATTGTCTGAGCTTTCTCCCTGCTTTGTTACCATAACATTCTTTTTTGGAATTCCATTAATGTGGGGGTTTCCCCTCCCCCAGAAACAATTAGAAGAGAACAGTTGGCAAAGCCAGCCAGGAAAGACCTGTGGCTCACTCTGAAGTGAGTAACTATCACGTGTCTTGGAATGGCTGGCTGCTGCCAGGGGAAGGAGTTTGAGCCGAAAGAGGAAAACACGAGTACCCAGTGAAGTGGAAGATGGGCTGTCTGGCTGCGGTGGTGGAGACACTGTGAGGCACGGGGAGGGCTGAGTAGGACCTGGGGATCGGAAGACCTGGGCTCACATCCCGGTTTCACCCTTAACTAGTTGCCTGAACTTGAGCAGGGTATTTCACTTTTCTAAACCTCCCCAAGTCCGTCAGTGAAAGTAGGAATTCTGCCTCGGTTATGTGGATTCTGGTGAAGATGAAACAAGAGAGGTGGTAGCAAAGGAACTGGCACATGGTAGCTTCCACAGACTTCTTTCTTCCTTCCTCTCGTCATACTCCCTTCCACCTTGCACAGTCTTCAACCTGGAGATTTTGAGTTGGCCGAGTAAAAGACAGGAACACCTGAAACAGGAAACTTCAAGCACTGCACCTTCACTTACTAGTAACTAGTGAGTAATTGTTTGTATGTTTGAAGCAAGTAGTTTGCAAGAGAAGAGTACTTGATTGAGGCTGTCTGTCCATGTGGATTTTCAACATTGCTCTGATCACTAGTCATATATACATATGATGTGTAAAATAAACCTACCATTTATAAAGTACCTGTGCACCTGTTATATCCTGGGTACTTTGTGAATTTCATCTTGTTTAATCCTTACAATCACATTATGTTGTAGGGATTGTTATTCAGATGTCCACCTAGGAATGAAGAGCTACTCAGTAGTGAATTAGTATTTTTAAAAGACTATTTTTAAGAAGAGTTTTATATTTACAACAAAATTGAGAAGGAAGTACAGAGATCGTATACCCCTGCCCCCACACATGTATAGCTTGTCTCATTATCAACATCACCCGCCAGATGGTACTTTTATTTTTCTTTACAAAGGATGGATCTATATCAACACATTATTACCATCCAAAGTTAATAGTTTACCTTCGTATTCACTCTTATTACTGTACATTCTTTGGGTTTGAACAAATATATAATGACACATATCCATTATTATATTATATACAGATATTACATGTCACTGCTTTAAAAATCCTCTGTGCTCTGCCTATTCATCTCTTCTCCCCCACCCTTACCTGCCCCTGGCAACCACTGATTTTTTCTTATTGTCTACATAGTTTTGCATTTTCCAGATTATCCTATAGTTGAAATCACGCAGTATGTAACTTTTTTGGATTGGCTTCTTTTCCTTAGTAATATGCATTTAAGGTTCTTCCCTGTCTTTACATGTCTTGACAACTCAATTCATTTTAGCACTGAATAATAATCCACTATCTGCGTGCACCACAGTTGTGTGTGTGTGTGTGTGTGTGTGTGTTTTATTTGTTTGTTTGTTTAATTCACCAACTGAAGGACTTTTTGGTTGCTTCCAAGTTCTGGCAATTATGAATAAAGCTGCTATAAACAACCATGTGCAGGCTTTTGTGTGGACATAAGTTTTCACGTCCTTTGGGTAAATACCAAGGAATATGATGGCTGGGGCATAAGATAAGAGTATGTTTAGTTTTGTAAGAAACTGACAAACTGTCTTCTGAAGTGGCTGTCCCATTTTGCAATTCCTGCCAACAGTGAATGAGCAGGGTTCCTGTTCTACATCCTACCAGCATTTGGTGGTGTCAATGTTTTGGATTTTGGCCATGTTAATAAATGTGTAGTGGTACGTCATTGTTTTAATTTGCAATTCCCTGATGACATATGATGTGGAGTATCTCTTCATATGACTATTAGCCATTTGTATATCTGCTTTGTGAAGTCTCTGTTAAGGTCTTGGCCCATTTTTAAA